GCTTAACAGATTTTAAAACATAGACAAGCAAGAAATCTCGTATTTTTTTTTGTCTGCCAAAATAACTTGTCTTGCCTTGAAGTCAAATCCCAGGCTGAAGAGAGTTTTCCCTTGAGTTGTCAAAGAAAAAATTTCTTCTAAATGGAACTCTTCAACTTCTCAACCTTGACACATGACTGAAATGATTATTTAAGCAACACACACACGCCATTCAGACTCCTTTGGATAATGCAAGCACGCAGCTAAGGAAAAGCAAGACTGTAAAATCAGAGGTACTGGGGCAACAGTGATGAAAACTTAGATCCAAAAAAAATAATGTGCTGGAAATAGAAGGCTTTGGGGGCCAGTTTATATTTAGACAACTTGGTGCTGCTGCAGATATCTAACATGAACCAAGAAGGCTAACACTGGACATACAGAGGCCTATGAACCAACACAAAATGGCTGGCACTAGATATCCAGGGAACCCAAAAGTAAACAGTGATATAATCAGTTACATAATCAGTTCTGGCAGAATACCACTGTGGTGTTTTGAATGAGAATGGCCCTGTAGGCTCATATATTTGAGCACTAATTTCCCAGATAGTGGAACTGTTTGGGAAGGATTGGGTGGTATGGTCTTATTGAAGGAGGTATGTCACTGGAGGTGAGCTTTGACATTTCAAAAGCCCACACCACTACCACCCTCTCTCTCTGCCTGCAACTTGTAGATCAGATGTAAGCTCTCAGCTACTGCTCCAGCACCATGTCTGTCCACTGGTCACCACATTCTCCACCATGATGGTCATGGACTAACTCTCTGAAACTATAAGCAAGCCCCAACCTAAAATGCTTCATTTTCTAAGTTGCCTTGATCATGGTGTTTCATCACAGCAACTAAGACAATCATATCTATGTGGTTTTATGTAACTATGGCCTGGAGTTCAGAAGTGTTGGATTTAGCTGAAGCCTTTACTCCTGCTTTCCCCAGCTTGTCTATACATGTCTGTAGGCCTGTGTGCCTTTCTACCTGCCATATGTGTGTATGGTGTGTGTGTGTGTGTGTGTGTGTGTGTGTGTGTGTGTGTGTGTGTGTGTGAATGTGTTCACATGCATGTGTGAGCACCTATCTGTGTGCCACCCATGTGTACCAGCATGTGCCTGGGTACCTGTCAACATCTTCTTGCCTAGTGGTTTCTGTGGTGGCCTTCACCCAGAATGAATAAAGTATGTTTATCTCTCTATGATTCATCATACTCTTCTTCAATCTCCCACCCAGCCTCCTGTGACCCTCCTCCTTTGCTGGTATAGGAGTTTTGACCTCACAGAAAAGGATCTATTGAAAATGCTGAGACCAAGTCCTCTACTGCAGCTCTTCAGGGAGACTCCAGTATCCACATCAGAGTTTAACTGACTTCTTTTTTTAGAAATAAAAACTGCCAAGTTTCATCAGGTTTGAAGTAGGGACCAGAAAGGTCACTGAGCAGAAATATGAAGTCGAAGATGATTCCTGGGTTGTGGAGATATTTAATTTTCAAATGAGAAGAGGAAGCCATGTGTGTCTTCCATTAATTCTTATTTGGCCAGATCGCTGGAAGAATGGTTAGTGGAAATGATAAGCCTTCGCCGAGGCTCCAGCCTCTCCTGCCACTGTTCTCGGGAGTGGGGCCACTCTGTGCACAGGTCTAAAGAGCCATCTCTTTAGCTACAGCCACTAGACTTGATCAGGTAAACAATGGAGACCAGCAAAGGCCATTGAGCAGTAGCTTGATTAGAACTGTGTTCCAGAAGGAACTCTCTGGAAGTGGTGAGGAGTGATGAATTGGAACAAGAAAATGATGGATGCAAAAAAAAATAATTACAGATTGTCAGATGCTTAAAGCAAGAGATGGTGGGACTTTGAAGAACAGTCATAATGAAATTGGCCAGTCTGAGACTAAAGTTATGCTGTTAAGATCAACCGTGGTCCTAACACATCTTCCCATGGCTCCAGACCTTATTATGCCCACTATGGTGGTCTCAGTACCCATGACTCCTTCATTGTCCCAGGAGATTTTTCATATTTTCATGAGACTTGAGTTCATATGTCACAAGCACATAAAGTATGTAAACAGATTTTAATGTGCAATGCTCATCATGAGAGATTTCTGGTACATTGATAGTTTTGGCTCATGGATGTTTCCTCATTCTGTTCATAAAATAACCTGGAAACACCTCTGTCCTTTCACATTTTGGCTTCATGCACGGGTTGTAGCCACATAGTGACAACCCATCAAACATCCTCCCTTTATTAAGATGAGTAAAGTCAAGAAAGGACTCTCTACAGCTTAGACCAACACAGACTCATATAATAACAGTTAACAACAATGCTAATAAAATATTAAAGCATTGTACTTTATACCAAGCCCTAATTGTGTGTGTGTGTGTGTGTGTGTGTGTCTATGTGCATATAGCCATTTAAACAACCTCAGTGAAGTAGGCTTATAGTATTTTTAATTAAACAGAGAGAAAACCAGGGCTCAAACAGAGTTTAAGAAACTTTCCTAAGGTTTTATAAGTAGTAGGTGGCAGAGAAAAGATTCAAATCCAGATGTACCTTACTTTGGACCTCCAGTACCTTGACTTTTGGTAATGAAGACTGCCAGCATCTCAACATTTCCTGCACAGATGCTAAATTACCTCTGGTCTAGTCCCATGATGTAAGGTAGACTAGACCAAACCGCAGGCATTTCTTCCAGCCTAATTCCATAGATGAAGATGAGCCTACATCTCAAACCATGAAGGATTCTCATAGATTTAATCTGGCATTTGGGATCTGAGGCTTTACCCAAGGATTCAGATCAGATGAACTCTCAGACCCACTATAGCATATGTCTAATCTAGATCCAGGATGAAAGAAATACCTATGATGTCTTTCTTTCAAGGGTTGGTGACTCGACCCTGGGTTCCAGTCATGTATTTATGACACTCATGAGACAGCAGTCTTTATAGATGTGAGTCAGATGATGTTTTGTACTATGGTAACAACAATCTATCAGTCTCCAGAACGTTAGCAGTCATAGCTACCAAAGGAAGAGCTCTATCAGCCAAGACTCTAAAGTCAAACCTACACCTATCTGCCACAGTGAATTGTTGACTAAAAAGTCATTTGGTCCCAAATGGAGAAGCTACTTCTGATCATCAGTTGCTGAGCATTACAAAGAACTTCTAAGAAGTCTGATGGCATAGAGAAAATAAACAAAAGATTAATATCCAACATTTATATGCAAGCCATACATCATTAATGATCATTATGAAGAACTTGCTTAGTTCAAATGAGGTTCCAGAAGACTGGAAGCGTTTATTGTAGCACCAGTATTTATAATAGCCACCCTGGGGAACAGCAGGCCCATCAACGTGACATAGCTAATATGCAAGGTAATGGAAATAAGTAGAGGTGAAACAGAGCCACACGGACACCGAATTATCTTGGGAGCCAACTTCCATGCAAATAATTAGAAAGTGCCCTGTTTATTAGCAGAGTGGAGAGGACATTGCCTGAGACACCTTAGGTCACATTTTAACTTTCCATTTAAAACTGGCACAGCATGTGGTGGCTCTTCTTAAAATCACAGCTAGAAACATTCAGTGCAATTGACAGAGGACAAAGAGCTCCCAATGAAATCCAAGGAAGATGCTCATCCACAGTTGGGAAGCACCACGATTCTGGCCAAGAAGAGGTCCAGATTTAGGTCCCTGTCCCTTAACCTATTCTTTTGCAGTTTCCTTGACTGTGAAATGTGGACTCTAGTGGCACAAGAGAGTAGAGACTTCATGAAAGTGCCTTGTAAGTAAATGATGGGAGAAGGGGATGCACACACTGCGGTGGGCTGAGCAGCAGGCGTGGAGGATGTTTCACACCACGGGGATTTCACACACTGGTAAGGTATGCCCTTGATAACAGCCCTTCAGCTCTAGCCTATTGCTGCTGTGCAGCAGTCCAGAACCAGTGTCCCAGGCAGCCGTTTCATTTAAAGACAAAAATGAAAAGAAATAGCCTTTTTAAAAAAAGAAGAACTATCTCAACTTTAAAATGCTGCAGCTGAAACTAAAGTTTCTAAAACTGTTAATGCGGCCTGCATCCCCTCTCTAAGTCCCCACTGTGGATATTATGGTAGAAAAGCAGTTGGGAATTGGATTAGTCAATCATTGTATTAGTCACTTTTCTTGATGCTGTGGCAAGGTATCTGACAGAAGCCATTTGAGAAGGAGGGGGTTGTTTGGGCTCCCAGTTTGAAGGGACAGCCTATCACTTTGGCAAAGTTATGGGGGCAGAAGCAGGAGGCAGTTGATCACTGTGCATCCATAGTAGGAAGCAGAGAGATATGAAGACTCATGCTCAGTTACTCTTCTCACTTGTATGGAGTCTGGGACCCAGCCTGTGGAATGGTGCCACCCACAGTGACTATGAGTCTTGCCCTCTCAGTTAACCCATTCTAAAAACTCCCTCATAGATATGCCCGCAAGATTCTAGATCCTATCAATTTGGCCATCAATATTAACTGCCACAATGATAATTATTACTAACATGTATCGTAATACTAGTCAAGTATGTACTATGGTTGTCATGTTGAAATGAAGGGCTTTTAACTTTATTGATATATAGTTGACAATTATATATATGTATATTATATGCTATAAATACATGCATATTTATGTGAAACATGATGATTATATTTTATGGGGTGTTGTGAGTTCAGGGGGATAGTGATGAAACCCAGGACCTGGTGCATGCTAGGTGAGCACTCTACCACTGAGCTGCACCCCTAGCCTAAACAGATGTTCTTGTAAGTGTTGTAGAAAGTAGACCTAGGAAGCCTACAATAAGGTAAATTCAGATTCCTGCTTTCACACATGTGCAACTGATGAAGATTATCCTTGGCTAAAGTTAATAAATTTTGTGAAGCTTTAATTTTTAAAAACTCACAGAAACCTCAATGCTTCTTAAAAAAAGTCCATAGTGTGATATAACAACCCCTCACCCTCCTTCTTAACAATGGCTTTTACTAGGGCCCTTCCAAGGAAGCATTTTTCCCCCTCAAAACTGTAGTTAACTGTGATCTTTCCTGTAAACATTCTCACATTTCCTTTCATACACTTACTTCCTTCATCTTACCCTGACTCAGGGAAGCTGCACAAAACTAATAACTCAGCTATTTCACTACACCAAGAAGCAAGTGGTCAAAAAAGTGATGTCTTTCCCCAACTTACCTGTTAGTGCTGCCATCAACCAGGGAAGGCAAACTGCCCAGGATCAACCAACCCATGTCAATCTCAAGAACAAGATCGATGGTCAAATCCTAGTCTGTGTTTTGTGGGTGACATGGAATCCCTGATGCCATTACCATCTTTATCTTCTTTACATTTGAACCATGATATTTCATCTTCCAGTCATTGTACACTGAAGACTCCAGGAGAGCTCTGTCATCCTGGGAATGCTAAAGGCCATCTAAATCCAAAAGCCATCTTCAAGCTCTGGGTGACAGAAACTCTAGCAAGACAGAGAGCATACAGGACATGAGCAGGAGAGCCATGGGCCTCTTTTCCCTATCTGGGTAAAATGAACAATGGGATAGCTGAGTTGGGAGGTAAGCATGGCTTCCCTTTCCCTTTCCTCTCCTTTCCTTTGTCAATTTCTCTGATGATTTGCATGACTTCCAGATACTAAAGAACAGTTAGGAGGCAATGCTTTTTCTATGACGAATAGCAGAAAATGATCATTTCTGGTGACTTTTCACAAAGAACACAAGTTTCTGCTTAGTTAAAAAGCCTTAGGTACATGGGAACCTTTTGTTCCTGTCCCCAGCGCTCATTCCCACGCTTCTGTTTTCTACGCCTAGTCACCCCCAGCATTCTCTGGCAGCAGGGAGATGAGGGGTTCTCAGGCCATAGAGCAGCGGTTCTCCACCTGTGGGTCACAACCTCTTGGGGGTTGTGTATCAGTTATCCTACATATCAGATATTTATATTACAATCTATAGCAGTAGCAAAATTATAGTTATGAAATAGCAACAAAAATAACTTTATAGTTGGGGGTCACCACAACATGAGGAACTGGATTCAAGGGTCACAGCATTAGGAAGGTTGAGAAGCACTGCTCTAGAGGATCAGAAGGTCATAGTGATGAATGTCAGAAACAGATCCTTCCCAAGGTTAGTTTGCAGCACTGTGATGATTCTAGTGCTGACTGGCAAACTGGGGCAGAAAAAAAAAAGTGGACATCCGGATAGATGCAGGGGAGATCTGCATGATCTCAGGGCGGTATTCCTTCTCTTCCATTCACAGACAAAGTGTTTCCCCAAGGAACCTGGGAACTAGAAGAGGAAGTGTGTAACCCCCAAGGGGAGCTGAAACAAAAGCAGAGCAAGGAAAGAAACTTCCCTTCAGGTGCCCTTCACAAAAGGAACATTCCTTCTGGGAAGCAAAGCTCTCTGGAAACGGGGTTTCCTTGGCCCGTGAGAGGGAACGAGTCAGAATTCTCAGAACTAGTCACAAAAGAAGAGTCATGGCAATTTGTGTTAACCTTGATATTAATTATGAAAAGGGAAATGGAAGCCATTAGAAAATTCCCAAGAGTAGGTTATTCAGGGACAGAAGGAAGACTGTTAGAGACTTTTAGTACATGGGCAACACACCTCCATAGTTCCCCAAACAGCCCATGAAGTTGTGGGTCCAAAGTCCTTTATGTCACATTTGGTGATACAGGTATTTACAGAGCTTGGGTACATGCTTCGCACCACACAATGAGTTTCATTCCATGGCCATCAAGAGAAGGCTCCCTTCATTAAACAAAGACACCACATGCAGGGATGAAGTGAGTATGGTCAGGAGAGAGTTTTGTGGTCCTCAAGTGGAGAATGTATATTTGAACTCTTGATTCAAAATGGAAAAACTCTCTGGCTTATTCCAGCAGTGAGAATCTCAGAAGTGGGACCTTAAAGGTACCTCAGCTTTCAGGGAAGCTGCAAGGCTTTAGGACAACTTGTAGCCCATTGCAAGCCCAGATTCAACACTTTATACAGAACCAGAACCAATTACATTGGGGACCGTGTTACAGTTGCCAAATATTGTGCAACTTCTTATGGGTTTGGAATGAAGAATAGAATGCAGGCCTAGAGCAAAATGAGCTGAGTTGGGAAAGGGGAAATAGATTCAGAATGTAAAAAGCAGTGCTCTTTGATGGGCTGAAGGACTGACACATGGAAAATGCAATGCATTATTGACAAACACGTATGCTGGCTGCAAAAATAATTAACACAAGCAGAAAAGAAACAGGAATGAAATGGACCAGAAAGACTTTGAAAGATTGTGAAGTGGCCGCTGAAATTGCCAACCTAATGTCAGAGAGATGATTAAAATTTTCCAATAGAATAGGTGAATAGGTACTTAGGAGAGTGTGATGTAAACCAAGAGAGAGTGGATCATTATATGAATCTGCACGGAGGTACCAATCAGCATTTTATGTGCAACTTTGCAGTGCACATTTTAGCAGATGGAGGAAGCTCTTAAAATCTGATAGCTAAACTGAGTCTGCCTGCTTTTCTGTTCCATAATAACCATCCCTGGAATGGGCACTTGTTCAATGCATAAGCAGTCCCCATAATAGAATTCCAGAAATATCAATATGCTCACAAAGGAAAGATACCTCCAGAAACCTAGGACCCAGGGAGAATGAGGGAAGGGAGGAATAATTCAATCTAAGTGTGTACCTGGATGTCTGGTACTCATCAGACTTGCTGGAGACTTAGCAACCAGAACCCAAAGTGAAGGCTGAGCGACAGTTGGGAGCAAATTCTTCTGCGGGCTGAACTGTACCCATGCAGGCAGAACTGCATGCACATGTACACACACACTCTTGCAGAAACTGTATTGCTGCAATAACAAAAACAATTAGATGGTGGATTGTGGGTATGCTAAAGGAGAATAATTCTTCATGATCAGAATGACTTTTTCCGCTCATTCAACAGAAAAAGACTCTTATTTTTTATTTGTTGGCAAAGCCAAATTAGAAAAAATATATATCTTTACGACCCTAGGAGACAAATGAGTGATACCAAATATCACTAAAAATGCTATTAATCTACAAGTGATATAAAATTACCATCTCAGCACAAAGAAAGCCTATATAATCTGAATTTCCCTAGGATCATAAAAACGAATGAGAGGCGAAATTGAGAGTAAGTATGCTTTTGAGATGCAGTTAAGGGTTCCATGCATTGTTAACAAATGTGGCTAGGCAGACTGGTGATTTACCTTGAATAGAGACAGAAAACGTCCAAATGGGACCAAATGATCCTCCCATGAGTGTCTAATGACACCTTTGAGGACATTATTCTCCTCCCTTCGATATTTAAATGTGGCTGATTAGCTATTGACTTTATGGGTTATTCCCCTCTGTTTTCAACTGATCATTTTCTGTGTATTTCAGAAGCCAAAAGTAGCTCTGAGTGGAGTGAGAATGTGTGGAGGACTCAAATCAAGATGCTCTTCTTTGTGTAACAGGTACCTGGGTGAGGAACACAAAGGATGGTTGCTCTCTCACTAAGGGACTGTCTCCGTATCTGAATAAAGCCCATTTTCAGTTAATATCATCATCTTGCACTCTGGCCAGGGCATCAGGATAGCACAACGATGGTGGACACAGCCTTTTGTACTACGGCACAGGGTCAAATCCAGGTTTGTGGGGTCTCATGCTTGAGTTTATAGTACACTCTTAAAACGGACAGTTTTAAAACACGGATGTCAGAACAGATATGGAAGGGGAAATTTGTCTTGAATGAGTGAAGAAATCAGAGCATCAGAAACTCCCTAACACTGGCACATTGCAACATCAGGACACTGAGTGTCGTAGGTCGTGTCTGTAATCCTGGTGCTCACAGGGCACAGCCAGGAAGATCACCTTCGATTTAAGGCCAGCCTGGACTCAGACAGTAAGTTCCAGGTCAGACTCTGCAGCAAAAAGTAAACACAAATAAACAAAATGAAACAAGCAGGAAAAGCTTTAGTTTAGTTTAGGAGTTTTTTAGGTTATAATTTAGTTACAGCATTTCTCCCTTCTTTCCTCCCTTCAAACCTGTTTCAAACACCCCTCCCAGTTTGCCTTCAAATTCATGGCCCCTTTTTTTAGGAATTGCTCTTGCATGTGTATGTGTATACATATGTGTATCTGTTTATGCACATGAATTCCTTAATATAACCTATTCGGTCTGTATAATGTTACTTGTATGCAGCTTTTCAGGGCTGACTATTTGGCACCGGACAACCAATTGAGGTGCTCTTCCCTAGAGACGGCCACCTCTGCTCGCAGCTTTGCTCGGTGGTCTGGAGTTCTTTGTGGAGGGTTGAGGCCTCATGGGCTTTTCTCCTGCCAGTCTGACATTCCCTTGGTGTGGTCCTTGTTTGGCTCACATTTGAGCAGTTGTGTTCTCCGGATGTGACCGTAGTTCTCACCGCTCAAGGAAATTTCTCTTTGTCACAGAAGGAGACCACTACAGAAACAATCAACCAATCAAAATGCAGGGTTGTGAAGCCCAGTTCCACTGGATCCATTTAGAAGACACTCTTCACCTAAGGCTCAGGGAACACTGTGGAAGAAAAAAAAAAGAACTTCAGTTTTTCAGTAGCTAATTGCTCAATACAGTTCTACAAAGTTTGTTTCCCTACATTTCTGCCTTGATACTTCTTGATTGACTCTTTACACCGCAATGATTTTGGGATAGTTCCTACAGATAAGAGAAATACGTAATTTGGTCTTTCCTCTAACACTGTGGTTAGATTTTTCAGTGGTGGTTTTGTTGTTGTTGCTGTTGTTGTTTTTGGTTTTTTGGCAAAGCCATATGTGTAAATTTCATAGTAGTTTCTCACCTAAGGCCACAGCTTTTGAAGACTGAAAACACTTGCATCTGGCTGCCCGCACAGCTCCTTGTTCTTCCCCCAGTACAGGTCTGACTGCCTCTCCCTCACCAGACCTGCCCTGGGTCAGGGAGCTCTGAAGTTGGAGGCAGATGAGAATGAGTAGACCCTTACCACTAAAGGCAAGTGTAGGCCAGGATGTTCAAGGTGGGCCACCAGAAGTTGTCGTTAGGATCCAGGTGGATGGAGTGAGGCTTTTGTTGGTCCTCAGTACCACAGTGAGTTGATGTTCTTCTGTCTTCTTCCTAGGGTACCTACAGTCTCCTGCCAATGACACCCAGGGTTTAGAAAACATCCAACTGCCGGCCTTTCCACCTTACCGTGAGTCACTTTCCTTCCAGTCGTCTCTGGACAAATCATAAAAGAGAAGTTGCCCTTTCAGGGAACCCCCTCTCCTTGAAGCACTTTTTGTTCTTGGCAAGGAACTGCAGGGATCATCCTAAGTAAGGCCATCATGTAACAAATCTAAAGCTCAAAGGAAGTTTTCTAACCTATCGATAATAAATTTCCATGTTTTGATTGATATTGCTAAAGAAAAAGCTGAATTGTGTTTCTATGCTTTCTCTAGAAAATATTACCAAATTGCCATATGAAGACTCAATGGGGGAAAAATAGGCAAAAAGTATAGAAGCAAAGGATTGTGGTGGTGTAGTCCCTAACCCTTCCCAGAAGCCAGAAGAAATCTCCTCATCCCTCAGACAACCCAGCCTTGTGGGATTTGTTGTTGGCAGAGTTGGGTAAGCAATCTCCTTTAAGAAACAAAATGCTTGTAAACTACATAACCTACCCACCCTCAGTGACAAAACCTAGATCAAAAATTTGTAAAACAAAGTACCCAAGATTTTAAGGACTTGAGCTAAAACTGTGGAATTCAGAGACTTAGTAGTTGTGCTGGAGAATTCCCTCAATTAAACCAGGAGGCAGGCATGTCCGTGACGTTGATGGCATGGACACAATGGGTTTTGATCATTTGCCAGCTATAGGATTTGTGACTAATTCCTTAACTTTCTTAGCAGGCCTGGTCTCCTCATTGATTGCAATGAATGTGTGTGGGGATACTTAGCCTTGCAGGATGTGGAAGCTCCTAGCACTGTGCCCTATGTATGGTATTTAATAAATGTGATTTCCTTCCTCTGGTTTGACAATATGGGCTCTTGCATTTTTTCAGGCAGTTTTCTATGGTGCCTTTCATCTTAACAAAATGGCCCATTTGTGTAACTTGAGTTCCTGCTGGAACCCAAGAGACCCCATTGTTTTTAAAGTCTTTCTGATTCCTGACTTTTGTTTTATCTTCTTCACTCATAGCCCCAACCCTGAACTTCTGCTTCCACGCCATAGTGCCTGCTTTGTAGGGTGTTGACACTACTAACCCTTGGAACAAATGAGCTGACAATGTTAGGTCATCTCTTTACACAGCTTCTGATGCTCAAGCTTCCTAGAAAGACCGGTTGCATCTCTCTAAGAGGAAGTCTGAAGCATCGAGATACATAATTCAACTTGATCTCGTACTGAAGCTAATTTTGACAATGACTGTAAGCAGAAGTCATGCACTTACCTATCCTAGGGCCTGTGCCAAAGCTGCCTGTGCTGATCAGGTGACCAACACTTAGCTATTTCAGATCTGTTCCTCTTGAATTGGATGATTTAGTGCTTTGGAGTTTTCTGATACCCAGAAACCTACTCTCACTAACCTCTTTATAAAACATATTCCTTTTAGGGACCAAAGTAGGGCCTTACTCATCTCTTGGTTGGTGAATGAATCAGATTCTATTTATTTATTTTTTATATTAACTTTCTGCTTTTAGAGGGCAGAAGCTGGGGAGGAGAAGCCCTAAGAGTGAGAATCCTGGATCCAAATGGATTGATTAGAAGGTAGTGATTGCCTTTCAGATCCTTGGCCTCACTCATTCTGAAGTAGTTGCTTCCAAAGATGAAAAGAGATGACTAAAAGTCAATGTGGAGGCATGTTGGAGTGTGAAAGTAATAATGTGGGTCTAATAATTACCAGCAATGTCCTCTGCATGCAAAGGGACAGGGTAGCATATGGTGAAATCCTACAACTCCATAAACTTAAGGGAACCAAGGAAGTGTTCTTAGAAGCTAACCTTGAGCAACTAAGGTATGTGGAATTAGTATAGCAACTTGAGTCCTTTGAGGTTAGATGCTAGCTAAATTTTCCTAGCTGTTTCTTGCTGATAAACATTTGGGGCACAAAGTGTGTACCCTGTTTGTTTTCTGTGGGGTGTGTACTGAGTTTTCTTGACTTATAGCAAAAACCAGTTTTCATTAAGACTATTCAAAAATCATCACCGACAGTCAGGGCATGGTAGTGCATGCCTGTCACCCAAACTCTTAGTAAGATGGAAGGGTCAAGAGTTCAAGAACAGTCTCAGCTATACAGCAGATTCAATTGGTGCTTATGAAATCCTATCTCAAAACAAAACAACAACAACACATGCACATAAATTACTGATTGATGACTAGGATATGTTCTTATAAGAAAAAAAGTCCTTCTTGTGACTCTAGAAATTAACAGATATTAAAAATAACTTGGAATCTGAAGCAATATAAATAATATAACATAATGCAATAATTGACAGATAGAAGAAGCCGGACTCAAGTTACTGGTGAGACTTGACTAAAGAAAGCCGGCGCTAAGACCATAGCCATGACGCGAACGTATCTACTTCAGCTTCATGTGCTGGAAACTCCTTTCCCAAAACAACAGTGCTGAGAGGCGGGCCTTGTGTTGCATGTGATGCAAGCCACTATTGGGTTTGCAGATGTGAGTTTTTTCTTCTGCCTGTAAGACTGCTACATCCTTCATTTCCAAAGGACCCAGTATTCCAAGCACCATTTTGGCAAAAGAAAAACCAAGTCATAACCTGCTGCTGATTTGATCTTGGACTACCTAGCCTCCAGAACTAGAAGAAACATTCTGTTTAATCAGTACGAAATGGACTAAGCCATCAGCATTAGCTTCCAGGTGTTCTGATGTCTACTGAAAGTCAAGACACAGAAATATTTGTATATCCCCCTGGAACAAACTGGAGGGGACTTGAGGACATCTACATTAGATAGGTAGAAATATTTACAACATTTCCTTTCAGTTTTATAATAATGATAACAGAGAATAAAATATAGAGCATTAGCAATGGATATTAAATATTGAATTTATATAAAAGCTCAAAATAATTTTTGCCCAAAAAATTTAATGGAGAAGTTGCTCTTGCTTCTGTGCACATAATTATATACCAAGTTTTATGTCTGAAATGGCTGCTAGCAAGTCATGATCAAATCTTTTTTAATGATCTCTTCAAATTCTTGATAGTCACTATTGATGAGAAACTTTGTTCATACAAGTAGGTGATAAAAAGTTTAAAACCATTTTTACAGCCATTCCAAAATTTACAACAGTTGAAATTATCTTTAAGGAATCAGGGAGCTCTTCTTTTACCTTTTCTTTGACTGAGGCAAATGTTAGGATTTCTTGTGGTGATGAGAATGGGTTTCAATCCAATCCAACTTTCACATTCCAAGTGTCTCAATAGCCAAGAGACTGGCCTTGCAGAATGTATCTGTGATGCTAGAAGCTTTGCTCTGCTACTGATGTGGACTCCATTAAAAGGGCACACCGACTGCAAAGGGTTGTCAGCATGAGGGACAGATGAAGGGCAAGGCGCAGGCTGCTTTGTGAACTTACCTTGCAGGAGTCCTACCTGGCCTCCTTGCTTCTCCGATTTCCCATCTTCTAGTTCCAGGCTAGACCAGGCCTGCACTAGTGCAGCATCCCTGCCAACTCTACCCACATGGGCAGCAGCGGGCTCTGCAGTTTACTCTTGAAATGGGTAACAAGGAGTACCTCCCTTTTTTAACACACAAGTTCATGGGGATATATGCATGTGTGAGGAGCGTGCACATCTGTGTGTGAGTGAGTGTGTGAAGACCAGAAGTCATCATAGAATGTCTTTCTCCATAGCTTATCTCATTTTTTGAGACAGGTCTCTCGAACCTGGAGCTCATTGATTCAGTTAGGCTGGCTAGCCTATGAACTTCAGAAATCCACCTATCTTTGACTCTGGTCCTGATCCTAGTACTGAGGTTGCAATTATGCCACAGTACCTGACTTTCGCCTTGGTTGCTGAGGATCAAACTCACAGCCTCTTTCTTACCTGGTAGGCACCTTATCTAATAAGACATCTCCCTATCCTCGAGTTCCTTCTTCATTGTGCCTGGTGCATTGCAGATGAGCTCGTGGCATTGGCGGTCTGCAGGAACTGTGGAGCAGGCTGTCTGAATAACGGTCTCAGACTGACAGCCATCTAAGAACTTCAGATCCCCCAGACCTCAAGAGCTAGAGGTTCACCAGTTCACAAGACACAGGTAATTCTTTCATGGCACGGGTATCAGGGAGAACAGACAACACAAATGACTGGCCTACATCTGCAAGTGACAGTCTAGGCTTAGAATTGTACCGTTTCCCACTTAGCCGGTGTTCCTTCCCCTTATTAATAATGTGACCAACATACTGTCGGAAATGATAAAAAGAGTATCTCAGCTTTACAGACATGTCAGAAAATGTGATACTTCTACTTCCCATGTATAACAAAAAGTGGTCTTAGAGTTCCCAACAATTACATTTCATAGACATTTTATTTTACAAATAGATGAAAAGTAACAAACCCTATTACACCCACTGTGGGGTTCACAGAGGTGGCGAGACCTTCTCCCCCAAATGTTCAGTGTGACTGAGGCAACTGATCCAGTTGAAGTCCAGCAAACATCACCGTGGATAGAAAAATAAAAACAAGCAATTGCTCTTCTCCTCTCTTTTTGCCCAAATTCCATTCATTATCTGGCTTTGCATACGGTTCATCTGTTTCAGTTCCCCTGGGCTGAGCAGTTTATGTTACAAAGAGCTGCAGCCTGTACTGAACATGCCCTTCTTCCATCTTTCTTTTAAAAAAGAATACGCATTTTTTTTTCCCCGAGCCTGGGAAGAAGTGCTGAGTACGCAGCCCTGCAGTTTCTGTTTATACTGCGAGCAACCACAGCACAAATCAGCACCAAGTTTCCCTTGATTTCTGCCTGGAACAATATTATCCTATGGGGACTCACTCTGGGGTCCAGAGGGTGATGTATAACTTGCTATTACATGTTTCTGCCCAAGAGGGCAATTTTAGCTCTTCCAGGGCTGCCAGAGAGCAAATAGTGACGAGATGGGAGGGAGACCAGACGACCAGAGTCTTGTCATAACTCATCAG